ATATGATATATGCCAGTACGTTTAGTGTTAATTATTCTAAGAAATTAGGAGAAACCGAATTAATTGCTATCGTATAATAATAGTTTCGTGGGAACTAAACTTATTTAAATATTATTTCTTTGTCAGAAAATGAATCGATTTAAATTACTACATTTTCTCGCTGATTGTTTTCTTACAACACATATAAATCAGGTAGATGTTACGTTTAGAATATTTATATAATATCCATGTGTATTAATATATATTAATTTCCATACAAACTTATATAAGTTGTATTTCATAGATTGTAGTATATTGTGATTCACACACAAATTCATATTATTTAACCCACAAGGAGAAAAATAAATACCTAAAAGTTACATAAACGCAACGATTGTTAAAAGACATAGATAAAACAGCTTATTCTCTATTCAAGGTACAAAAACTATATGTGTATTAAAATAATGCATATATATATATATATATGTTAGCTATATTCAAAACCGTTCGCGAAAGAACGAAAGCACAAAGAACAACTTTTATGTTAAAGAAAAAAGCAATTTGTTACATCGCCGTAGTTTAGTTAATAGCTGAATTAATAATTCAATTTTTTTTCAAACAAGATAATAAAGATAAAAGGATATGATAAATTACGTTTCATAAGGACAAAAAAAAAAAGTTAAAAAAAAAAAGAAAAACAGAATCTAAATGAGAGTTTAATGAGATGGAAAAATTTGGAATATTTTAATAAAATATTACGTTATCGCAAGAATTAGCAGTGACTAATGTACTAATCACAAGAATTAAATCGAGTAAAAATATGAAAAAGTTTTCAATTGCGTTCAATAAAGAACACAAGCTTTCTGCCGAAGTAAATGTATACGAAGAATCATTTAGATATTCGCTAAAGATGCATTGGATATTCTCAATATTCCCGAAAAATGCATTGCGTTGTGAAATTTCTATAAAAAATTACTAATTGATCATTTCGATCAATTCTAATGTTAACACCGTACCAATTCGTACCTCACGAACTATGGCAATGTAGATAATGTTAAGTAGATTATATTCGCACTTGTGAAACGTTGTTCCACAAGAAGATATCCATAAAGAAATGAATCAATCGATTACTTTTCCTCGTAATTCTTTCATTCGATAAATGAGACGTATCGATTCGTAGATCGCTTGATTATATCAAGTTTGAAATCGCTCAGAGAAAGCATCATCCGCCTTTATGTAGGATTATAGGCCTTCTAATGAA